TGCATTGGGAACACAAAGTCTTACCCACTGGACCACCAAGGAAGTCCCGAGGGGAATAAAGTAGTTTTGAAAAACAAACACACAAACAAAGAACTTCCTGATTCATTGTGTCACAAGGGCAGTGATTGTTCCCATAAGCAAGGTAGAGAATCTGGGGAAAAGAGTGGATTTGGGGTAAGGGGGCACAGGCAGAGAGGATTATTTTAGGTTTGGAAATACTGAATCTGAGGTGTCGCTGACAGCTGGACATAATGGTTTTGGAACTCAGAGGAAAGTTCTGTGCTGAAGGGGAGGAATATAGCCAGATGGTCACATAGATGAGATCCTGGGAGGATGGGTAGAGTATAAGAAAAGATGACCAAGATTAGAATTCTGAGGAACATTCGAAGGGACAGAGAAGTTGAATTTTCCCAGGAGACTTGGAAGGCATATACAGATAGGTAGGAGGAAAATGCAGGAGAAAGAGAGAGCATGGGGGGAGGGAAGAGGTAGAGGAGAGAGGAGAGGGGAGAAGGGGTGGGGAGGGGAGGAGAGAGAGAGAGAGAGAGAGAGAGAGAGAGAGAGAATGAGAATACACAGATCTGAGAGGAAAGAGCAAATCACGAGGAAGGAATGGCCAACAATGTCAAGTGGTTGCCTGAGGTCAAGGCTAAGGAGTAAACTACTGGGTATGGTGGTTCTAAATGATTAGAAACCATGGTGAGAGCAGTTCCAGTGAAGAGGTGGATTCAGAAGCTGGATTATAGCACAATAAAGAGTTAAGGAGGTTAGAATTTGGATTCAGCAAGTGTAGATTGTTCTTTAAAGAAGTCTGGCTTTGATGGGTTGAGATAATTTACATATAGATAATATCACGACTCATTATGTCTAAAGGGGAAAATCCTTGGAAATAGATTAAACAAACAGAAGAGGAATTGGTAATAATTGAGGCCAAGTGCCTGACTGGCTGTGAGGGGAATGAACCCAGAGGCCAGGCGGAGAGTCTAGACCAGGATGTGGTAGGGAGACCTCCCTGTCCTTCCACTGAGATGAGGGAAAGGAGGCGATGGTGGGTGTGAATAAATTCCTTTTCTGGGTGGGGGATGAGGGCAAGCAGGAAGGTGAAGAAGCTCTAGTTACTGGCATTGATAGGGAGAGTGGTAGATCAGTACTTATGAAGATGGTTTGGAATTAACTGTTATGGAATTGTGAGCAAGATAGAATAGAGACCTGGAAAGCAATGCCAGGCCATCAGAAGGCAAGGTTTGGTAGTTTTCTCCAGGGGTTCTTAGCTAATTAGATGGAAGAAGCGTCTCTCTGAACTGCTCATCAGCCCTCAGCTGCCTTCTGCTTTGGTTTTAAACCTCATCACAGAGTGTATCTGCAGATAGTACCGTCTCTTTTGTAAAGGGCTAAACATCATCTACCTGTACAACTTACAACAAATAAACAACAAAAAATGAGATTAAACGTGTTTTCCCCCAAAACCTAATATGAAATATCGTTCTTTTTAATAATGTTGGAATCATAATTAGATTGACCCACATACCAACATGACCATGAAAGCTGGACATGGCCTAGTATTTATCTTATATTTTATAACTCGTCTTCTTGGGAAGGCATCATATTCTGCTACTGCAAGCCTGAATGTTCTTCTATGGCAAGACAGAAGGTGCCAAGTCTAACCCTGTTCCCTAGATCTTACATATTCAGGTGGTAGGCAAGATTTCATAGCTTTAAATCAAGATCTCACTATTCACATTTTAGTTTTCCATGGACTAACTAGCAACCCAGTGTTCTTCTTTCTGGAAAAATTACCTCCAATCCTAATCTCTGCTTTCTCAAATATGGTTGCAGGGTAGAAATCAACTCAACGGTGGGGTCATCCTCTGGTGTGTAGCTTCCTGTGTGAATCCTAGAGGCTTCATTTTGACACCTTGCCTCTCATGTGGTTTTCATCTCAACCTCAATTTCAGCTGCAAATCCTTCTCAGGAAGTGAGGAACTTCCTAGCTTCTTCAGTGGCCATCTCCCCGGCTGCTCCTGGTGGCATCAGTGCTGCATCTTCCCTGAGTCACTGCACTCAAGTGACCAAACTCTTTGGAGTCTCAATTAAGTCTGGTTTCCCACAGAATAAGATTAGTAAATGCTTCAGAGACAGTTTGTGAAATATTGAGTCAATTCTGAACCTAAACTGAAAATAATTTCTTATTTCATCTTGATTTTGAAAATTTAATGCCATATAGATCTTCAGTTGAGGTCACTCATTTCATAAGTTCCAGTTCCCTGCCTTCTGCTTACTCAGAAGTGCCCCTCAGGGTCCCAGTCAGCACATATTTATCAAGAACCTACTCGAGCTTGTCACTGGTGATAAAGAGGTGGATAAATCACAGTACCTGTCATCAGAGGCACTCAAAGTTTGGTAAGAGACAGGCTAGTAGTTAATATATAGCAGCAACTCTCCAAATGTAGTGTACAGAATAATCAATTGAAAGCCTAGATAAGGGAGATTTTTTTCTGTAGACCTGCCAAAGAATCTGCATTTTTAATAAGCGTGTAGGAGTGGGTGGTCTGGGGAATGGTGGAGGTGAGTCTGATACAGATGGCTTGAGAATCACACTTGGAAAAACACTGCAAGACAATAGTATAAGTGTTACAATAAAGGTATTTATCCTGGATGCTCTGGGAGCCAAGGAGGAGCTGACTGACTCCGCCAAGGGAAGTTGAGGGTAGAGAGGCTGAGGGAAGGAGGTTTTATTGGATTGCTACACTGTCTCCTTTCACATGATCTGTGAGGTCTGTGAATCAAATAATCTCCTTGTCTTTGGCCCTTTGTCTCTAAAACCTCTCCTAAAGTATTTTCTACTTGATTTATAGTGCGTACCCTTTTCTCTTATATATGTTTTTATGTTTTCTTTTAACTAAACAAGTTACACCGTCTGCAACTTCATGGGTTTCATGTGTCTTTTTCCATTTCTAGACATGTTATAATTTAAGTAGCAGTCTCCTCCAGAGCTGAGTTTCCCATTCTTAGCTACTTATTTCTGAATTTCACTTACTGCATATGCTTTTTTTTTTTTGCCTTTAGCAAACAAGCTCTTTTCCTTAACCCCAAACTGAAAATAAAACCCTTACCTTACCCAGACATTGAATGTACTGTTTGCTTCTATCAGTTTAAAAGGAAGGTGTGGGATATTGTTGTTGTTGTTGTTTTTTTAATGATGTAATCAGAATTTTTATTTATTTATTCTATTTATTTATTTTTGGCTGTGTTGGGTCTTCATGTCTGCACGCCGGCTTTCTCTAGTTGCAGTGAGCGGGGGCTACTCTTCCTTGTGGTGTGCAGGCTTCTCATTGCAGTGGCTTCTCTTGTTGTGGAGCATGCTCTAGGCATGTGGGCTTCAGTAGTTGTGGCTCGTGGGCTCTAGAGCGCAGGCTCAGTAGTTATGGCACACGGGCTTAGTTGCTCTTCGGCATGTTGGATCTTCCCGGACCAGGGCTTGAACCCATGTCCCCTGCATTGGCAGGCGGATTCTTAACGACTGCGTCACCAGGGAAGTCCCTGGGCTATTGTCTTGTGAAGGTTATCACAGGATAACTTAGCATCATTACATTTGTGTTTATGAATTTACACTTTGATGTGGAGAGAGTAAGAAATGTATCACAAGCAAATCTTTATGCAGTTAGTCTCAAACAAGTCATTACTGAGAAATGAGAAAAAATATCAAGCTGTAGAATATTTTCCTTTTTTTATATTCAAGTATTATTTCCTTCATATTGAAATATGGAAACAAGAGTTGTGTTTTATTGGCAAGGAGGAGGGATGTGGAAAAGTTGTGGTAATCATTTTTTGAAAGAAGCTCCTATGGACTGAATTGTGTTTCCCTAAATTCGTATGTTGAAGCTCTAACCCCCCAGTGTGACTGTATTTGGAGAAAGGGCTTTTAGGAAGTAATTAAGGTAAAATGAGGTCACAAAGCGGGGTGTGTGTGGGGGTCCTAATATGATAGAATTGGTGACCTTATAAGAAGAGGAAAAGAAAAAGATTCTCTTCATGCGTATGCACTGAGGAGAGGCCATGTGAGTACGCAGTGACAAGGCTGAGGTCTGCAATCCAGGAAACAAACTCTCACTAGAACCCAGCCATGCTGACACCCTGATTTCAAACTTGTAGCTTCCAGATCTATGAGAAAATACATTTCTGTGGTTTAAGCCACCCAGTCTGTGGTATTTTGTTATGGTAGCCTGAGATAATACAGAAGACACACTTGACAGCATGAAAGTCTGTGGTTCTGGGTTCTAGTTCTGATTCTACTACCCTTAGTTCTTGTGGCTCTAGAAGTTTCATAAGACCTCAGTTTCCTCTTTGCAGAATGAAGGAGTAAAACTGACTCTTAAGATATTATTTGATTTTGAAATCTTTGATTCTAATTACATGAAATAAACTGCTTTGTGAAGATCATATAACATTGAGCCTGAAGCAGCTTTCAAGGCCTTTTTGCCTAACTCTCATTTAGTGGAAGAGGAAACTCAGGCCCCAGTAGATTGTGACATGACTTTCCCAATGTCACAGTGATACTCCTGGCAATGCCTGGAAGTGTAGTCTCCTGTTTGTTCCTCTTCCTTTTACACTACTGAGTGAGTTGTCAGCTATTAAATAGGAATAGGTTTTCTTTCATGGACCTATTTCATTGGGAAAATGTTAATAAGTTGGAAAATACTAAGCTTTTCAGAATGAACTTTTTAAAAAGTGTTTTATTGTGATTTATCATGAAAATATTCTGTAAGTTTTCTTTTAAAGTTATTATTGCATTTAAGTATTTCTCTCTAAATGTTTATTAATTGATACTAATATGCATATATGGTAATATTTTATTTAAAATTTATTTTTTCAAAATAACATGATATGGTAAATAATAAAATTATACAGATGTATTTATGATGGAAAGTAACAGTTTCTCAATCAAAATTCTCCATTCCCAATTATTCTCCACAAAGGCAAAATCATGCTGTTACTTTTCAGATTTCTTTTGAAGATTAGCTTGACAACGTTAGAGAATGTGCTTATTCCTGTACTCTTCCGTAAATCAATAAACCAGATTCATAGACTTCCTATTAAGAAACTTGAGGTAATAACTCACTTGCATTACTCTCCCATCCTCATCTCCCATGCTAAAATTTGATATTAATATTATTTTTAGTTTTTCTAAACCTTTGTAATTTTTAAATAGTATCATAAGACATCTTTTGGCAGAATTTTTTGATTCCTTGTTTTGTAAAATGAGTACATCTAAGTAGTAGGACCCCTGCTTTTTTCTTACTTTTCCTTTCCTATTTCTACATCTTCCTATCAGCTACTCTTGCTTTTACATGGTCAAGGTTAACATTTACCTTCCATTCTGCAACCACAAATGTGTCATCTCTGCTTGTCCAGACCTTGATTCTACTGTTGAAAACCAATAAAATAATGTTTTAAAGAATGTTTGGGGACCCCAGATATTCTGTACAAATGGATTTTCTGCAAAAATGGAAATTGGAAATTTGCCACTTAGGCAATTTTGAATTAGAAATTACATTTATTTGAATTATGAGGGGAGGTAAATATCCCCTTTTTCTCTACTTTGCCTTTAAAAATGACTTAGCATAAATAAAATGCCAGAAAGGGTGCCATGAATATCATTTAAGTAATTTTTTTAAACTGTGTTAGTTTTTATAAAATTAGAATTTCTGGTTGGGTTCAAAAGGTCTGATTAGACACTGCATTAAATTGTACTTCTTTAGAAGTCTTGATAAACACTCTTTGATATACTGGTTTACTCACTGAAGTGAATTCAGTAAAATTCTATCTTTAATGTGTTCCTATCATGTGATGCTTAAAATTATTCTGTGTAACTAAGTCAGAACCTCACTAAATCATCCTTAGAGTCACACCAAAAAAGACTTCATTGTTGTTAAAAGTATAATTATATTAGTTGGTTTGGGATGAAGGGCATGTTTTAACGTTAATAATCTCCTATGTACTGATTTCTGTTATGTCCAGGGAAGCTTGTAGGAGGTTGCAATGCACTTTGGGTCAATTGTGTCTATATTTTTAATTATATTAACAACTGTAATACATTGCCTCTTTTTTTGTAATCATATTTTCAGTATAGTTGCTAGGGAGTTATTTGTACAGCAGGGACTACAAGTCTCTATGCCTTTCTGATGAAAGTATGTTCTTGAGCTTCCTTGCCTATATAGCATTTCATATCTTGCAGACATAAATCCCAGAGCTAAGCCTAGCTCAAATAGCTCTGTATAGTTTCACTTCCCCAAGGGTAGTTATATCATTTCTGAGGTAAGAGGATCAATACAAAATAAGGTTCTCTAAGTAAGGGCTAAACCAATACCAAATATAGCATTGATGAAACATTTAGCGGCTTCCTGTTTGTGAAGTTCATCAAAGCTATAAAGCTGACTAAAACCAGGATTTGAGTTCTGCAGAAGACTACATGGTCACAAAATATCTGAGACAGTCTTTGTACTTGTAATTGTGCCGGAGGTTTCTATTTTTACCATAGATCATGATGGAATTCCCATTTAAGGCCCTTAACTTCTGATTAAATCACATATCTCATTATGATAAAATTTATTATGAACAAATGTCAATGTATTTCCATACTTTCTACTAGATTATGAACTGCTAGGGAGTATTCATTATGCTTTATCTTCTTTATATCCTCCAGAGTGTACTAGAGGATGCTTCTCATACATGAGATATTTGGCAAGAGCTAGTTTTCTGCCTGGCACTGTGCTAATTAATCAATTTAGATGCGATTTTTCTTGAATTCTCAGAACAACCCCATGAGGGAGGCACTCTTTAGTTCTCTTTCATGGATGAGTAACTTAAGGGAAAGAGAAGTTAAGTCACTTGACTAGAGGCAAACAGCTAGTTAAATATTAGAGCCAAAATTCATCTGTGTCACTGAACTGTTCCAAGATGTCTTATAGTTGGAATCATATAGTATGTAGCCTTTCGGATTGACTTGTTTCACTTAGTAATATGTGTTTAAGATTCCTCCATGTCTTTTCATGGCTAGATAGTTCATTTTTTTCTAGTGTCGAATAATATTCCATTGTCTGGATGTACCGCAGTTTATCCATTTATTTACCTACTGAAAGCCATTTTGCTTGCTTCCAAGATTTGGCAATTATGAATTAAGATGCTATAAACATTCATGTGCAGGTTTTTGTGTGGATATAAGTTTTCAACACCTTTGGGTAAATACCAAAGAATACTATTGCTAGATTGTTTGGTAAGAGTATGTTTACTTTTGTAAGAAACCACCAAACTGCCTTCCAAATTGGCTGTGTCATTTTTCATCCCACCAGCAATGGATGTGAGTTCTCATTGCTTCACATCTTCACCAGCATTTGGTGTCATCAGTGTTTCAGATTTGGGCCGTTCTAATAGGTATGTAGTAGTATCTCGTTGTTTTAATTTCTAGTTCCCTAATGACATATGATGCTGAACATCTTTTCACATGCTTGTTTGCCATCTGTATATCTTTTCTGGTGAGGTGTCTGTTCAGGTCTGTGGCACACTTTAAAATATGGTTGTTTGTTTTCTCACTGTTGGGTTTTTTGAAATTGAAGTATAATTCTTAATGAGTTTTAAGAGTTCATTTTATATTTTGGATTACAATTCTTTATTATATATGTCTTTTGCAAATATTTTCTCGCAGTCTGTGGCTTTGTATTCTTTTACATTTGTATTCTTTTGACATTGTCTTTTGCAGAGCAGAAGTTTTTAATTTTAATGAAGTCCAGTTTATCAATTATTTCTTTTATGAATTGTGCCTTTGGTGTTGTCTCTAAAAGGTCATCAACACATTCAAGATCATCTAGGTTTTCTCTTGTGTTCTAGAAGTTTTATAATTTCACATTTTACATTTAGATCTGTGATTCATTTTGAGTTAATTTTTGTGAAGGATGTAAGGTCTGTAACAACTTCACTCAAGTTGTTCCAACACTATTTATTGAAAAGACTCTCTTTGCTTCATTGTATTGTTTTTGTGCCTTTGTCAAATATCAGTTTACGACAATTATGAGCATGTATTTTGGGGCTCTATATTTTGTTTCATTAATCTATTTGTCTATTCTTTTACCATTACCATACTATCTTTTTTTTTAACATCTTTATTGGAGTATAATTGCTTTACAATGGTGTGTTAGTTTCTGCTGCATAACAGAGTGAATCAGCTGTACATAGACATATATCCTCATATCCCCTTCCTCTTGTATCTCTCTCCCAACCCTCCCTATCCCACCCCTCTAGGTGGTCACAGATCTCCCTGTGCTATGCAGCTGCTTCCCACTAGCTATCTATTTTACATTTCATTACCATACTATCTTAATTACTGTAGCTTTTATAGTAAGTTGTCTTGAAGTCAGGTGGTGTCAGTCTTACAATATTGTAAGATGTTCTTCTTCTTCTTCAATATTGAGCTGACTTTTCTGAGGCTTTTACCTTTCCATATACTCTTTAGAATCAGTTTGTTTATTTCCACAGAATAATTTGCTAGAATTTTGATTGGGATTGTGTTGAATCTACTAAGTTGGGAAGAACTCACATATTGACAATATTGAATCTTTCTATCCATGAACATACTTCTTTGATGTCTTTCATCAGAGCTTTGTAGTTTTTCTCATGTAGATCTTGGCATATTTCGTTAGATATATGCCTAAATATTTCCTTTTTGTGGTGCTAGTGTAAAGGATAATGTGCTTTTTTTTATAAGTAAAGTTTTATTGGAACACAGTCACAGTCTTTCAGGTACATATTATCTGTTGTGCTACAAAGCAGAGTTCAGTACTTGCCATAGAAATTATGTGATCCACAGATTTTAAAATATTTCCTATCTCGCCTTTACAGAAAAAGTTTTCCTTGTCTAGAGGAATAACTTTCAAACTCCAACTCACACTGGAAAATATATTTTACTTGCTGATCCTGTACACACATTTCAGCAATTAAAATATTACAGATGCCTGAGTGTGGGGTTGCCAGATTTACCTATAATTAAAAAGCAATAAAGGATAATGTACTTTAAATTTCATATTCTTCTTGTTAATTATTGGTGTATAGGAAAGTGATTAATTTTTCTATATTAATCTTGTATTCTGCAATTTTGCTATACTTAGTTCCAAGAGTTTTTTGGTTTGTTTGGTTTTTTTTTAGTTTTCTACATAGCTGATCATGTCCTCTGTGAACAAAGACCATTTTATTTCTTCTTTCCCAATCTGTATACCTTTTATTTCCTTTTCTTATTGCATTAGCTAGAACTTCCAGTATGATATTGAAAAGCAGTAGTGAAGGAAAATCCTTGCCTTTTTCTTAGCCAGGAAGCTTTGGGTTTCTTATCATTAAGTATGATGCTAGCTCTAGGCTTTTTGTGGATGTTCTTTACCAAGTTGAAGAAATTCTACTCTATTCCTGGTTTACTAAGAGTTTTATCAAGAATCGGTGTTGGATTTTGTCAAATGCTTTTCTCATCTGTTAATATGTCATGTGATTTTTTTTTTTTTTTTTTAGCCTGTTGATGTGCTGGATTACATTAATTGATTTTTGAATGTTGAACCTGCTTTGCATTGCCTGGGATAAATCCCCCTTGGTCATCGTGTATAATTCTTTTATACACTATTTGATTCAATTCATTAATATGAGGATTTGTTGAGGATTTTTACACCATTGTTCATGAGAGATACTGGCCTGTAGTTCTCTTTTCTTATAATATCTTTTTCTGGTTTTGGTATTAGAGTAATGCTGGCCTTGTAGAATGAGTTAGGAAGTGCTCCCTCTTCTTTTATCTTCTGGAAGGGATTGCAAAGAGTTGTCATAATTTCTTCCTTAAATGTTTGGTAGAAATCATGGGTAGAAACATCTAGGCCTGGTACTTTCTGTTTTGAAAGGTTATTAATTTTTTATTTCTTTAATAGATATAGGCCTATTCAAGTTGTCTATTTCTTCTTGAGTTTTGACAAGTTGTGTCTTTCAAGGAATTGGTTTGTTTCATCTAGTTTATCAAATTTGTGGTCATAGAGTTATTAACAATATTCCTTTATTATCCTTTTAATGTCCATAGAATAGTGATCCATATTTCATTTCTGATATTAGTAATTTGTGTTTTCTCTCCTTTTTTTTTTTAGTTAACATGGCTAGAGTCTTATCAATTAACCTTTTCAAAGGATGACTTTTTAAAAAATTTCCTCTATTGATTTCTGTTCTTTTTTTTTTCTAATATGTGCATTCAGTGCTATAAACTTCTATCTAAGCACTGCTTTTACTACATCCCATACATTTTGATAAATTGTATTTTTATTTTCATTCAGTTTAAAATGTTTTATAATTTCTCTTGAGATTTCTTCTTTTACCCATGTGTTATTTAGAATCTCAATCTCTTTCTCTCTCTCTCTTTATTTATTTATTTTGAAGTTTTCCAGCTATCTCCCTTTTCTTGATTTCCAGTTTAATTCCATTTTGGTCTGAAAGTATGCATTGTATAATGTATTCTCTTCTTTTAAATTTGTTAAGGTGTGTTTTATGGTCCAGAATGTGGTTTATCACAGTGAATGTTCCATATGAGCTTGGGATAAATGTGTATTCTGCTGTTGTTGGATGAAGTAGTCTATAGTTGTCAGTATATCCAGTTGGTTGATAGTGTGGTTGAGTTCGACCTTGTCCTTAATGATTTTCTGGCTGCTTGGATCTCTCCATTTCTGATAGAGAGATATTAAAGTTGCAATTATAATAGTGGATTCATTTATTTCTCCTTGAAGTTCTACCATTTTTTGTCTAATGTATTTTGATGTTCTGTTGTTAGGCACATACACGTTAAGGATTGTTTTATATTCTTAGAGTATTAACCCCTTATCATTATGTATTGCTCCTCTTTATTCATGATAACTTTCCTGTTCTGAAGTCGTATAGTCTGAAATTATTCTAGCTACTCCTCTTTTCTTTTTTTAAAAATTTATTTATTTTGTTTATTTTTATTTTTGGCTGTGTTGGGTCTTCATGGCTGCACGCGGGCTTTCTCTAGTTGCAGTGAGTGGGGGCTACTCTTCGTTCTGGTGTCCAGGCTTCTCATTGCGGTGGCTTCTTGTTGTGGAGCACAGGCTCTAGGCACGTGGGCTTCAGTAGTTGTGGCATGCGGGCTCAGTAGTTGTAGCTTGCAGGCTCTAGAACACAGGCTCAGTAGTTGTGGCGCACGGGCTTAGTTGCTCCATGGCATGTGGGATCTTCCTGGACCAGGGCTCGAAGCTGTGTCCCCTTCATTGGCAGGCGGATTCCTAACCACTGCATCACCAGGGAAACCCCTCTTTTCTTTTGATTATTGTTAACATGGTATATATTTCTCTATCCCTTTAGTTTTAATCAGTATGTGTGTTTGTATTTAAACTGGGTTTGTTTTGGACAACATATAGTTGCATCTTGTTTTTTGATCCACTCTGACAATCTCTGTCTTTTAAGTGGCACGTTTAGACCATTGATATTTAAAGTGATTATTCGTATGGTTGGATTAATATTTACTGTATTTCTTACTGCGCTCCATTTGTTGCTCTTGTTCTTTACTCCTATTTTGTCTTCCACACTTTTTCTGCCTTTCATGGTTTTAATTGAACATGTTATATAACTTCATCTTCTTGCCTTTCTTAGCATACCAACTACACTTCTTTTTCTTTGTTAGTGGTTGCCCTAGAGTTTGCAATATACATTTACAACTAATCCCAATTTCAAATAACATTTCATAGTTAGTATGAGTACCTTATAATAACAAAACATTCCTAATTCCTCCATCTTGTCCCTTGTATCACTGCTGTCATTCATTTCACTTATACATAAGCATACACACACACACACACACACACACACACGCACATGCATACATATGTATACATAATAGAATACCTTGTTGCTATTATTTTGAACGAATAGTTAACTGTTAGATCAATTAAGAATAAGAAAAATAAAAGTTTTGATTTTACCTCTATTTATTCCTTCTCCAATATGCTCTTCCTTTCTTTATGTTGATCCAAGTTTCTGACCTATGTTATTTTCCTTCTCTCTAAAGAACTTCTTTTAATAGGTCTACTGGCAACAAATTTCTTCAATTTTTGTTTGTCTGAAAAAGTTTTTATTTCTCTTTCATTTTTGAAGGATAATTTCACAGGATACTATTCTGGTGGTAGGCTTTTTCTCTCAACACTTCAAATATTTCACTCTACTCTTCTTTGAGGAGAAGTCAGAAGTAATTCTTATTTTTGATCCTCTATAGGTAAGGTGTTTTTTCCCTCTGACTTCTTTCAAGGTTTTTTTTTTATCTTTTGATATTTGAATGTGATATGCCTAGGTGTAGTTTTTTTGGCATTTGTCTTGCCTGACGTTCTCTAAGCTTCCTGCATCTGTGGTTTGGT